GTAAGTGGCTGCAAACCTGAATGTGAGGCCAGTGGGAAAGTATTTCCAGGCTTCCACTTTGAAGAGAGGGGTAAAAATGTCAAAGGAAAACCAGAGAAGCCTATGGTGTCCTTAGACTGCTTTTCTACACTTAAAACCTTTTTTTTTTTTTTTTTGGTATTACTGTGAACAGCAGAGTCATGTAATCAAGTTGCCTTTTAAAAACCCACAAACTTTGTAAACTGCAAAATAAATGAATTGTGCAGATTTGAGTTCTATTCAACTGAGGTCTTTGGACAGTGTAACCCAAGTTTTGTCTCAGTTTGGAAAATTGCTTCATGTGGTTCAGTATTCATTGGAGTACAAGTTTGGAACTTTCATTTAGAGGCTGTAGGAAGAACTTTATTGGGAAGCAGAAATTATGATGGAAGATAGAGCTAATTCTCATTCCTTGCAGCTGGCGAGCAGGATAACTCGGACAACAACACCATCTTTGTTCAGGGACTTGGTGAAAATGTAACCATTGAGTCGGTAGCAGATTACTTCAAGCAGATTGGCATCATAAAGGTAAATTGTGCTAGTTATGCCTGTGAGATGATCCCATTACCAATAAGGCTGCATTTTGTAGGTTGCACTATACTGTTTGGTTGTAAAGTGCGCAGTGTGCTAGTGGGTAATGAGAGCTCGAAGGGCTGGTTGAGAGACTGAGCTGGCTAGAAAAAAGCAGCTACTAGTGGAATTGCTGTTGGAAAGTAGAATCACAAAACACTGAATGGTCTGAGCTGTGCAAAAAGCCTGCACTAGGTAGGATGCATTAATCGAATTTTTTAAAAATTGGATTTTTTAAAATAAAATGTTTTTGGAGGAAAAATCTTTCTAAAGATAGTTTAAATCACATTATAGTCCAAAAGCTATTCATCAGGAAATAAGGATTAGTTTTAAGTTTTTCATGTGTGCTAAAGCTCAGTCTAAGGTGGGTTTTTTTAATAGTTTAACCACATCAGTTAACAAACATGTATACATATGCTATAATGTTATTGTTTTAGTTAAATAAATTGTTTAAATTGTTATTCAGGAAATGATTATTTTTCTCCTTCCAATAAGGTACAGCAGAAAAGTTGTCAAAATATAAACAGTTAACTTGTTAAACCTCAATTATCTGTCTATGTATTTCTAATAGTATAACCAAATCAGTAATTTTTGATAGAACTAAAAACTACTATGAAAATTTATTACTCAAAAAATGAAACCTTCATCTGGTTGTAAATATTAAGATTATACCAGTAAGAATGAGTCTTTCTGTAAAAAAAATGATTTAAATCAAGCCTTACTGACAAATTGATTTGATTTAAATCAAATCTACACTGCTTTGGCCCTACCTACTTTCAGAGACTAATGGGTAGACAAACCTTTTGTGCGATGTCTTTACACTCCAAGGGAGAATTCATGATGGCAGCAGTAATCTGCCTGGAACCTCATGAGCACATTCATTAACCTTTTAATTATTTTCAGGGCTATATAGGCAAATGTTCAGCGGCTAAAGCAAGTTACCTTTCACATTTAAAGGTAATTTCCATGCAGTAGTATTGCACATCAATTGCAGCTCCCTAAACAGTTGTAGTCTGCACCTGTCATGTATTGAAAATTAGATGCAAGAACATTGGATTAGATCTTTACAGTAGATTGATCTTGTACATTTTTTTTGTAAACAGACAAACAAGAAAACAGGACAGCCTATGATCAACCTGTACACTGATCGCGAGACAGGAAAACTGAAAGGAGAGGCCACTGTTTCCTTTGACGATCCCCCATCTGCAAAGGCTGCCATTGACTGGTTTGATGGTATGGTGCTGACTTTGAATTACTTTTTGGCTTTTGAAAGAGTTCCTATGCTTGTACTTTGAAGGCTTCTTTCTGTCTCCACTACTAGGCTTCTGGGGGGCAGGAGGGGAAGGATAAGATATAAATTGATGAATAAATACTGAAAGAGACACAGAAGTGCAGTAGAGGAGAGGTGCCAATAGTGAAATAATTGCCTTCTATCTTTATATCGGAAAAATGTAATCCTTTTCCCTGCTCTTCTCTTAACCAGGAAAAGAATTCTCAGGCAACCCTATCAAAGTATCATTTGCTACCCGGAGGGCAGACTTCAACAGAGGCGGTGGTGGTGGCAATGGCCGTGGAGGAAGAGGCCGTGGCGGTAGAGGAGGTATATGCCACGTCATTGCTGTGGTTGATAAGTCGTGAAGTGTGTTGCTTGTAGCAGTATTGGCTCTTGTTATACCTGTATTGAGTTTCAGCAAGGGAGGGGGAGGAGGACCAACTTGTGTTGTGCAGCCATTCTGAAATAGGGGGAGTTGGGTATGGGTACTGCAGTCTTTCTAGGGAAGAAAGGTAACCTAATACAAGGTGTTTATCAGCAAGGAAACATTCTACAAAAAATCCTGTTTCACTTGGCTCCTGCCACTGATTTTTGCATGCCTCTTTCCTTTAGGACCCATGGGCCGTGGTGGATTTGGTGGCGGCGGAGGTGGCGGCAGCAGCAGTGGTTCCAGCGGGGGCAGCAGGGGGGGCTTCCCCAGCGGAGGAGGTGGTCAGCAACGTGCAGGAGACTGGAAATGCCCCAACCCGTAAGCAGTCTGCTTTAGTTGTTTAGATATGAAGGTAGAAATGGGGTTAATGACTATTGGAACTCTAAATCATCCGTCTTCCCCAAATGTGTTTTTAGGACATGTGAAAATATGAACTTCTCATGGCGTAATGAATGCAACCAGTGCAAGGCACCAAAGCCAGATGGGCCCGGAGGACCACACATGGGTGAGTTTAAGGCTTTACTTTTCTCTCTGTGTGAAACCAATTACTGTATATCCTGTTCCCTTGCTGGCGGATTCTTTCTCGTCTGTGTGAGATACACAGTTTGCCTATTTGGCACAACGGCATCAGTGAGAAAAACACATTTCTCATTTCAAAATAGTTGCATAATACAAATCTGCTTTCTTCCCCAGGAGGTGGATTTGGTGAAGAACGACGCGGGGGCCGAGGAGGTTTTGACAGAGGTGGCTTCCGGGGAGGCAGGGGCGGAGACCGGGGAGGATTCAGAGGCGGAAGGGGCGGAGACAGAGGCAGCTTTGGACCAGGAAAAATGGATTCGAGGTAAAGGTTACTTCAGTGGTGGCTACTGTAAAGGCTCAGGAATAGGAATCTAGGGATTCTGTTTCTGGGGAGTGAAAGAGGGAGGCTGAGATTGTGACTGTTGGATCCACTTGCTGGGTTTTCAGCCTAGCCTTGGGGCTATTGATAGTTATTGTATAACAAACAATACGAATATGCAAATTCAAAATGTAAACTTTCCTGTCTCCTTTGCAGAGGGGACCACAGGCAGGACCGGCGCGAGAGACCCTATTGAGCCTGCATAGGATCCCAGACCATGTGAATTTATAAACTTTTTTTATTTTGTATGATGTCCAACTTCGTTGCAAACCTGTGTATTCCTTGCTGCGTTTGTGTACAAACTTTGTATTCCCTCTATTTTATGTTGACTGTATTTGGAAGTAATCCTATACATTTAAAGCCAAAATGTTTTAGTCATGCATGTATAACTGCTGGCGGGCGGGATAGGGCACTTGAATAATAAAGATGTTTTCAGTCATTTCTGAAAATAACATTTTTTATTTGACTTTGTAAAAGTAACAATACTGTTTAAAAAGCATTGTTTGAAAAGCTTTTGTATTTGTATAAATTTTCCAACTTTAACATAATTTTGAAAATGTGAATTGCTATAAAACAATCTGCACAGTATCTCAACTGTTGTAGTATGGGAGGAAGTTTACATTCAACTGAAAAACTCACTTTTTGACTCTTGCATTGGTTTTGATTTAGCAAGCAATAGCTAAAAGCATAATCTGTTTAATGGTAGGCATGTGGTGTTTAACAACTCACTCTTGGATCATCTGGTAGTGTTTTTGCAAAGGAGGGTTGTCCATGCGCGCTACTTACTACTTCAAGAACAGTAATGTGCTGAATTGATAAGAGCATGTGAGTGCTTCATTTAACGTGATTGGTAAATCTCAATACATAAGCTTTGCTGTTAGCATTCTTTGCATACCCAAGTCATGGCTGGTACATGGGGTGGGTGAAAGTGTTTCACTTCCTCTTAAGATACTTCTCATTTTTAAGAATGCAGCCAAAATTTTTCAATGTGGCATCCTTAGAGACCTTCCCTTGCCTTTATGAGGTTCACATACCTATGGCTTAAGCCTAATTTCATATGTAAATAAACACAAATCTAGCTACACTGTTAACACTGATGGAGCTGACTCAATGTATACACTGCTGTTGATGAATCTCCATGGAATGCCATCGAAATGTACGCTATTCATAGTGATTTGGATACAAAAGTCTCAAAAGCATGGTGGGCGAGGCAATTTCCTCTTGTGCTGTTTAATTTTATTATATATTTTTACAAAATAGATTCTTTTCATCCCATCCTGGAAATGCTGGTGGGTTTGTTTAAAGAAAAAATACAATAAATGTCCTAGTCATAATTACAATTGTACTTGGCTGTCAGAAACTTGGATATTAAGGCCAAAGCCTTTTTTACATCCTCTGTGTTAACACAGCTGTTTTGTAGTTCTTGAAGCAGCAGTGACTGCACTCTACTAAATCCAGTCTTTGCTAAGTTAATTTGAATTCCTTTTAACACTGGTGTGCAGCTAGTACAGTTCATTAATGCTTTGCATTGCATAATAGTGTACTTTGACCTCTGACTCAAATGAACAGGCAATGAAGCTTGATCCCTAAAGCCAAACTTTTAAAGTCACAAACAAGTCTTTGTATTTCCATTTTGCTTGATTCTTGGTTTTAATAACATCTGAGTGGGCTCTGTACAGGTACTTTGGATATTCCTTGACTTTGATAAATTTGGAATCTGGCCTTGACTATGAAGGCTCACGTTGCTAAATTATCTCCCATACGAAAAGCAGTAAGGATGCTCATGCCAGGGAGAAGGCTTTGCTGAAATTCCTCTCCAGCATGCTCCTTGGAGGCAGGGTTTGGTGTTGGGTTGACCAATCATTCAAGTCTCAACCTGTAAACTGAAATACGGTGTACCTCGGGTTACATACGCTTCAGGTTACAGACTGCTAACCCAAAAATAGTGCTTCAGGTTAAGAACTTTGCTTCAGGATGAGAACCAGAAATTGTGCTCTGGCGGTGCGGCGACGGCAGCAGGGGCCCCATTAGCTAAAGTGGTCTTCAGGTTAAGAACAGCTTCAGTAATACGGGACCTCCGGAACGATTAAGTTACTTAACCCAAGGTACCACTGTCGTCGCTTCTTTCTCCTCGGAAGCCCCCTTTCCTGATTCCCTTTCTCTTCCTTCTGCTGAAGGTTGTGAAGGAGGAGATCTCCGATGACAACGCAAAGCTCCCTTGCTTCAATGGCAGAGTCGTTTCCTGGGTATGAAGTTGGCACATCGTCTCGCTGTGGGCACCCTCCCTAGCCTAGACCTAACTGTGGGTTGGCTTTAGGTCTGGGGTCTTGCTTTGGCTCGGGGCTCAACAGTGGAGGCCTCTTACCCTCAAGCCCTGCTTGTGAGCTTATTGGAGGCACCCGGCTGGCATCACCTTTGCCACATCCATGCAGGCTGGACCTGGTGGGGAGTTCTAGTCCAGAACATCTGGAGAGGCTTGTGGGAGGCCAGCCTAGCAGTAGCCTTTGGCCTCATCCAGCAGGGCCCATTTCCTCTACTTAAATTCCTGGCGTTTGGCTTCTGAGGGTTTATTTAGTTCCCAAACTGGTGGTCAGTTTTTGGGGAGGTTAGGATGGAGGATAATGACATGTTCCTCATTTTACCGTCTCCTTTTCCCTGCCACAGCTTGTGTCTTCTGAGAACCCCCAGCCTGAGCTCCCTCCCCCTCCCCCTCCTCCCATAGAGGTACGACCAGAACCTTCGCCGCCGCCGCCGCCACTTCCTCCGTTGCCCGTGGAGCGGACTAGTGGCATTGGGGATTCCCGACCCCCTTCCTTCCAGTGAGTAAGGGGAGACTGAACGTGGGCTTTTGGGTTTCCCGCTGGGTGGGGGTGCGGTGTTTCTGAGTACCATTTGCTGGAAACCACAAGGACTGTGCTCTTGTGCTCAAGTCCTCCTTGCAGGTTTCCCATAATAAGCTGGTTGGCCACTGTGAGAACAGGGTGCTGGACTAGATGGGTCATTGGCTTGATCCAGCAAGTTATTCCTATGTTCTTACAGTGTTTGGCTGCTGCATAAATGGAAATGCTATTTATTAGATTTATACTTTGTCTTTCCACAGAGCATACATCTGTGGTGTTCTTCAGGAAATTTCACAGAGCCAAGTTCACATTTTCTAATTCAGATTTATTAACAAGGCAACCAAATGTAGCTTCAAACAGAAGCATACAAACGTAAATTATACGTAATAACTATACATCAATATAAGATCTTGGCCTGTACAATATATTATTGTTTTATTTGTTAAATTTGTTACCATTCTTAATCCAAAGATCACAGGGTGGTTCATAACATAAAAACACAACATGAGAACAAAAAAAATACTTTATCCAATAGATTTTTGTTTTCTGAGCCAAGCTTGAGGGGATGTATTTGAGGGTTTCCTGAACGAGGGACTTGGGGAGGTGCCCATCCTTAAACTCTGGTAGCTACTGTTGTGATACAATTCAGTGGTGAGGCCTTTCCCTGCCTTTGCAGCCCAAACATCTCCAGCAGCCACGAGAACCTGGACCCCGAAACTGAGACTGAGTCCGTTGGTCGCTGAGGCGGGAGCGGCCACGCCGCAGGGAGAGCATGGAGCACGGAGGTCAGTGGCTGCCTGGGAGCACAAACTCGGGTCTCTTCTCTGTGGACTGCAGGGGAGGGTGTGCATGTGTGTGCAGTGGCCATTTGTGAGTCCACCGTACGCTTTTCTCCTTGCCTTTAAAATAAATAGGTGGGCACCGGCCTAACGGGCAGTCCCGCTTGGAGCGGCACCTGGCTGGGTACGAGAGCTCCTCCACCCTGCTGACCAGCGAACTTGAGACACCAGCCTCTGCGACTCAGACAATGATGACACCATGAGCAGGTATGGGGCAGAAATGGCCAGCATTTTCGGTTGCGAGTAGCCAGTGGGTCCTTCCCCTTGGAAATGCTTCTCCTGGGATCTGTGGAGGGTGGGGTCTCCTCTGAAACAAGTCTTGCTTTTCAGGGGGTCTTGGGGCTCTTCCAGCAGTCTCCCCAAGAGCATTGCAAAGTCAGGAACTCTCACCTGTTGGCCCTAGGCAGTGTGGTGTAGTGGTTAGAGAGTCCGACTAGGAAGTGGGAGAGACCATTCACCCAGGGAATTCACTGGGTGACCTTGAGCCAGCCATCACCTCATAGCCTAGCCCAGGCTTCCTCAACCTTGGCCCTCCAGATGTTTTTGGCTTACAACTCCCATCATCCCTAGCTAGCAGGACCAGTGGTCAGGGATGATGGGAATTGTAGTCTCAAAACATCTGGAGGGCTGAAGTTGAGGAAGCTTGGCCTAGCCTACCTCCCGGAGCTGTGCCTGATGCCAAGAAGATGAAAGATGGGATTTGCCTCACGCCAGGCTGGGAAGTGGCGAGATTCGCCCAGGCTCAAGGTGTCGAAGAAAGAAGAGCCCTGCCATCTAGCGTGAGTGAAAACTTGCACTGTACTGGCTGCTAAATACAGTCGTACCTTGGAATCCATTCCGGAAGTCCGTTCGACTTCCAAAATGTTTGGAAACCAAATCACGGCTTCTGATTGGCTGCAGGAAACTCCTGCAGCCAATCAGAAGCCGCGCAAGCCCCGTCAGACATTCGGGTTCCAAAAGAACATTCACAAACTGTAAGAAGCGCTTCTGGGTTTGTGGCGTTCAGGAGCCAAAACGTCCGAGTTTCAGGGCATTCGGAATCCAAGGTACGGCTGTATGTCACTTGACCAAAGGAAGGAATTTGCCTTGGCTGCATTAAGAATTGTAAAATCCTTGGTCCCACCTGTGTTTAAGCCTAGGAGGGTTACCCCTTGCTGTTGCAGGAGGGTCCATGATTCTCAGGTGTGCACACCAGGCTCCTTTCTCAGTTCTGGGTGATGAGCTCTATTTGGGCTCTCTCTTGGCCAGATGTCCTCTTTTCTGCTTGAGCCATTTACAGCAAGCCACCAAGAATGAATTCCTATGCCCCACAAATAACCCAGAGATGCATTTTAAATAAAAGGACACATTCTACTCATGTAAAACACGCTGATTCCCCGACCATCCATGGGCCAGATTGAGAAGGTGATTGGGCCGGATCTGGCCCCCAGGCCTTAGTTTGCCTACCCCATGGGTAGGCAAGATGAGAACCCATGGCAGATGAGAACCCCCTTTTCGCTGGATGGCTTCCTGGCTTTAAGACCTTACTGCGAGGATGCTGATAGCTAGAAGGTGGAAAGGAGGGACTTTGCCAACAAAACAAGAATCGCAGGTGAAAATGTTTGAATATGCGGAACTGACAAAAATGACTGGGAGAATTAGGAATCAAGCAACCCAA